CGGGGGGCGGTGGCCGGCGGCGGGCGGAGCGAGGGGCTGCGCCAGCCAGCCGGACCCGGCCGAGTGGATCTGACACCTGCGTCGGGACCCGCCCCCCAGGCTCTCCGTCCTCCCTCGCAGCCATCGCGGGCCTCTCGGGTTGTGGGGGGGGCGATGGAACGCGCGCGCTGGGAGGGAAATGGGAGCGCGAGATCGCTTCGAGGACGCGCCTTCCCCACCCGCCCCCAAACCGTCCTCCCCGAGAAAGGGAAACGGGTCGGGGGGGTTGGGATTGTTCCCAACTCGAAATCGCGAGCTTGATGCCTTCCGTTGTGCACCCTCCCCGCCCTCGCATTCCCTCGTCGGGCCCCATTGATCCACACTCTGAACCCTGACGCGAGCCCACCAGGCCTCCCGAGCAAAGTGTCCTGTCTGCGTGTCCACGCCTCTGCGCCTCCCACCCAGGCCAGCCCACCTCCCGCACAGCCTGACGGCCACCGCCTAAAGTCCTCTCTAGCCGCGGTCTCTCCCCCGCTGGGATGCCAAGATTTGGGAACAAAGATCACTAATATCTTTAAGGTCCTTATCCGTGTGTACGGAGTGAAGACAATGCCTCTGCATATTGTGAGGCAAATTTTTAAACTACATCATAAATTCTCCGGGCTTTGAACAGGTTTAAAGATATAGGCAGGGTAGTAGGGTACAGCCAGCTCTGCCACTTAGGAACCGTTGTAAACTTTGAGCAAATTAGTTACTTGACTTACTCCAAGCCTTTGTTATGGAAAGATAAGAGTATATTCCAAGGTTGTTCTGAGAATGAAATAAGATATTTAAGAGCATTTTGTAAATTCCAAAACTCTATATAAAAATAAAGTTATAGTCCAAAGGAGGCTAAAAATATGAATATGTTCAATTCATTCAATTCAATTCACATTTTTGTTCATTACTACTACGTTAACAAATTTTTCTAGATCGTGAAACCAAAGACAACAGATGACTGTCCTACTTTACAAGAAAGATTCATTTTCAGATACCCTTAGTGATTTATTACCGCCAGAGATCCCAGTGAGATACAATAATGTCCGACCAGTTTGCCTTCTTGAAGATCACGTCCGCTTCTCAGTCACCTCAACCAACAAATTCTTTCCAGCACTCCTCTCCCAAACTTTTGGGCCTATTCTTTTTGCTGATTTCCCTCAGGATGCTGAGAGTCCTTTAAGAGATGTAGCATAACCTAGGATGATAACTTCTGGACTGGCTCGGATTTCTAATTCCACTTACCTATATAATCTTCTGACATAACTTCTCTGTACCTAATCTACTCAACTATAAAAGTTAACTATAAAAATATTTTATAAAAACAGTTACCTATGTCATTGAATTGTTATATGGAGTAAATGAGTTAACAAGTACGTATATAATACTTAATGCCTGGCACAAAGCAGGTGCTATTATAAGTGTTTACTGCTGCTCTTATATGTTATGTCACTGAGAGTAACCTAGGACAGTGAACTGTTTTCACAAAGGACACATTTAGAGGAACAAATGTGCTATATGATCTACTACCTTTAGAAGAAAGGGGAAAAGTCTACAGAATTAAAATGTTACTCTTTACTTCTCTGATATTCAGCCTTCTCGAACATAAAGTATTTTCAAACTAAAGACAAAGAAGACAAGCATTATGTGATCAAGAGAAGCTTGATCACAGAAATAATAACCCTATGAGAATCTGGCAAAAAGATACACAGGAAAATTGACACAGGGAAAAGGTTGCATGAGCCGGCCCAGCAGAGGATCAATAATACCTAGCCTATCCTTAAATCCCACTGGTAAAGACCCCAATTCATGGTAACCATGCACTGCCCAGCAAAAACAGGTTGTATTGGTGAAACTGTGGAAAAGGAGTATTAGACTATTAACTCGCTGGCCACCTGCCTTCAAAAAAAATGCTATCTATCATTCAATGTACTGTCACTATGTGCCAGACACCTCCTAAGAAATTCCTAATGTATACAACATTGCTTTTCACTAAAGGTAGTCAGAAAAAAACAAAAGCAAAAACCCAGAACTGTATTTTTAAAAACAAAGTCATTGATAAGGCTTAAACAGATTGCCATTATGCTAGATAATATTTACATGAGTAATGATCAAATTCATACTTCATATTTTTGTATGAAGTAATGACGGAGCATAATGGGAAGGCAAGGTCCAGAAAGACTCAATTTCTTTGATTCAATCATAATCTTTGTGCTTTCAGGGTTAATATGTTTAGACAGGTATGGACTCACATCTCCTTTGGGTAGCAATGTATGCTCAAAGTATTATAAGTAGCTTGTCTTGGTTTAATCATGCACCACACATTTTTAACAAATTAATATTCTTCGGGGGGTCCTGGGGTCAACTGAATCCCTTGAGAAGACATATTGTAAATAACCTAGCACCTTTGGAGTCAGATAAACCTGATTTGAAATCCCAGCTTTATTTACTAGTGGCATGGAATTGTGCTTAACTTCTATACGCCTCAGTTTTCTCATCAGCAAAATGAAGACTAGCTATTTCACTAAATTATAAAGATTAATGAGGTAATTCAAATATAATGCACTACATAGTAAGTGCTCAATAAATATTAGCTATTATTATACAAGACTAATTGATACCAAAATAGTCAAATATCAGAGAGAAGCTATATAATATTTAGATACCTGTGTAATAGTACAAATAGTTATACATATTCACTGCATGTCCCTATGAGTTTGAGACCAACCTTGAGATGAATAATATCTTGGTGACAAAACTGAAGTGCATCATTTGCCTACACCAAAACACTTCCAGATTTTTGCTCTTATTCCTAGACACATTTGAATCAATGAATGGCTTTTAAAGATTGATTAAACCAGAACATCTGAGATCGGGCTGGGCACCAATATTTTTTAAAGCTCTCGAGGGAATTCTAATGTGCAGCCAAGCTAAAGACCCAGGTTTAGACAAGATGGATGTTAGAATTAACTATATATGACCGTGTTGAAATGTGCATGTTATCTAAACATTTAAATTAATCAGATTAGCTGATTAGAATATGATAGCTAGATTTGAAGAAAGAAGCATTTTTTAAAAATGCTTCTTAGGGGCCGGCCCTGTGGCTTAGCGGTTAAGCGTGCGCGATCCACTACTGGTGGCCTGGGTTCGGATCCCGGGTGCGCACTGACGCACCGCTTCTCTGGCCATGCTGAGGCGGCGTCCCACATACAGCAACTAGAAGGATGTGCAACTATGACATACAACTATCTACTGGGGCTTTGGGGAGAAAAAAAGGAGGAGGAATGGCAATAGATGTTAGCTCAGAGCCAGTCTTCCTCAGCAAAAAGAGGAGGATTGGCGTGGATGTTAGCTCAGGGCTGATCTTCCTTACCAAAAAAAAAAAAAAAAACCCTAAAAGTTCTTCATAGACAATAAGAAGATACGAGGAGGAAGGCACATAAAAGTGAGGGTTTGATGAAAACAAAATCTCTCCTAACAAAGTTGCCCAGGTCCAACCAACCGCCTGTCTCTAATTCTACTTGTGTGCATTGGTGTATATCCACATCAGCCAGAAAAGCATAAGTAACCCATGGAGAAATAATAAGAAATTGTTTCTCGATTGCATGTCAAGCAAAAATCTTTAACTACCACCCCATTGACACCACCTAGTGCAAATCTTTTCCTCCTGGGTGTAAAGACAAGGAAACAAGCTGGGATATGATCAAAACTAAAGGCCTCGAAGTAGTAAAGAGGAGAATTGTAAACAGAAATGAATCCAGGATTGTTATCAGTATCTAAAATACTGTCCTTTATGGAGTATGTAACATGATAACTGTAAAATTCATGCGGCTGGAGGAAAGGTAGTGAATGTCTTATATTAGAACCTACACTAGCAAATCAGGAACAGTAGCGGCAGCTGCAGTAGATCTAGCTCTCCCTGCTGCTTCCTCTCCCTGACCCAGCTGGCTAGAACCAGCCCGACGACAACAGTCTTCACAGAATAGCTAAACACTGATCTAACCTTTCTCCACCCACGTCCCTCCTCCCTTTCCTCCACTCCATTTCTGCACGTTAAACTGAGCGTCTCTCTAACTATGCTAAGAAAATTCCAATGCCAGTCACAAAGGAGGCTGGGGTGGGGAAAAAGGAGGAAAGACCGTACATTGGCTGAATCAGAGAAGGAAAGGGTGTAAAAGGAAAAAAAGACTTAGAAAAAGGAGTGATGTAGGGTTTCCCCCTCCTTCTTTAATTGTATCTTGTTGTTATGTAGTAGAGAAAAAGACATACTACTAGTATGTCTTTTTCTCTACTACATAGGAATAACCTGGGATGCTTGTTTAAAATGCAAATTCCTTGGCCCTCACCTCTCATCTTCTGAATCAGCCTGTGTTTCTCACTTTTTGAGCCAAACTCAAAGCTTATGGAATCAGCCATAAGTCTGCACTTTTAATAAGCAGACCAAGTGGTTCTTAGACACATCAAAGTTCGAGAATCATGTCTTAAAGAGACTGAAATAACCATTTGTAAAATGCTCTTTAATTATAGCACTCAACATTTATAAACTCGTTTTAGCTTCAAGCAGCTTTGTAAGGTGGAGCAGATATTGTTAGTCCCCTCTGACAGAAGAGAAAATTGAGGCAATGAGATGAAATCATTAGTGGCAATTTCCTGGTTTCCTGATTCCCTGTCCACTGGAGTATCTTAAAAGTATATCAATCTGGGAAGAATATAAAAAGAAAGAATGGAATAAGTAAATGTGGAAAGGCAGTGTGTTCTCTTCTAAAGAATCGAGTAAGCACAAAGTAATAAAGGAAAAAAGAAACTAAGAGCCCCTCACTTGGTGCATGGAAACATGACTGAATTGGTA